AAGAGAAAGACGAGTTGTTGAACCCAGTGTGTCAATGGCCAAGGGCACAACCAGGCAACAGCAGAACCCAGAGGACCCCGGGGGGCGGAAGGGCAGGTGTGTTGCCCAAGCACTGCGGAAAAGCGACCCTTGAGTCAGTCACCTTCCCTGGGATTAAAAAAAAAACCCCTCTCTTGCTTGAGCTCGACACGGCGGCTCAGGTCTGTAAATCTCGAAATTCAAAACCAGTGTAAGCGACGTAGAGAAAATCTCTTTCCAAAAAAACTTCCCAATTTATGGCTTCGTGGTTGCAAGAAGTAAAAACTAAGAAATGTTCTTTTCCACAAACCTCCACACGCACCACAACTGCCACCGTTAACTTTCTTAGGCCTGATCCCCATCTCAGATATCCACGTGTTCACCCACTGATCTCGTCTACAGCCTGGATTTGAACAAGTGTTAACTTACATTCCGGATGGGCATGACCGGTCCCGTCAGCTGGGTGGCCAGTTTCAGTTCTTCAGCCTGTTGATGAATGAGAAGTTAAGTGCCTTTAGCCGCGCTGCCCCAAGGACTCCACCCCCGCCTGGCCCCAAACTTCCCCCTGGGGATCCCGAGTTCAGCACCAGTGTCTGAGCCTTTCCTCCAACATACTTTGTGTCCCCAGTGTTGAGAACAGTCATTACTAGTTAGGTGACTATCTTACTGAGTTGACACAACACGCATGAGACAGTTATATCTACCTGTGAACCAGGGACGGAGCAGAGAAAATCGTTCCCCAATTCAACTATCCGGAAACGTATACAATGGACTCTTATCAACCTTATCCTACAAGGTTTTTCTAGAATATTTTGGAACACGAAGCATTTTGGGGAGACAACGATTTCAACGGAAAAAGCTGGCTCCAAGTCACACAGCCTTTGCCGTGACCATTAAGGTCATCCCTGCTGAAAACCACAGGTGAACCTTAGTAGTCCCGATTAGCTCATCATCCGCTCCTGCAAGACAGGCGTCTCCTGCGGATCAGAGGCCACGATGTTTTGGTTCTTCTCACCCCAGCAGGGCCCAGGGACGGGTGTCACCGATAAAGGAACCCAGCCTCACTTTCCCCGCGCGCCAGGACGGCCGGAGAGCCCTGTACTCACAGAACTGTCTCCCTTCTTGGGGGCCGAGGGCTTCCTGGGGAAGAGGATGAGTTTGGAGCGGTACTCCTTCAGCCGCTGCACGTTGGCCTGCAGGGACTCCGTGGACTTGTTCCGCCTCCTCGGATCCACAGAAATGCCGATGGTCCGGGCCACCTTCTTGTGAATGCCGGCCACCTGCCCCAGAAGCGGAGAGAGATGGAGGCGGGCCCCGGCTTTCTCCGCCCCGAGGCCCGGAGGGAGAGGCTCAGCGATCAGATGGAAAAGGGTTCGAACGCGCTTTCATCAAGGCCGTCCAGCGATTCCGGAGACTGTCATCACGCGACTGAGGCCAGCACAGGGGACTCAGGGCCCTCCTGACACCGCGGCGCCGCCACTACTCACCCTGAGCTCCTCCAGGCTGAAGCCGCGGCCAGCGCGCACCTTCGTGTGGTACCGAACCGTGGGGCAGCGCACGATGGGCCGGATGGGCCCCGACGCGGGGCGCGGGGCGATGCGGCGCGCCTTGGCTTGCCGGGCCTTGCGTCTGGTGGAGAGAAGCCCAGCGGCGGTCACCCTCGCCTAAGGCCGCCAGGCAAGCGCTCCGCGGCGGCCGCAGACAGCGCCCCCCGCCCTGGCACCGGCCACCCCCAAACCCAGGCGCAGCCGCGGGCGCGAGCCCCAGGGGCGCCCCGAGCGCAGAGCTCACCTGCGGATCTTCCGGGCCGGCTGGTTGAACCACGTGGCCACGCGCCGCTGCCAGTCCTTGTGGAAGTGGGGCTTCAAGATCATGCCATTCCGGCTGGGCGCCATGGCTGCCTACGGCCCTGCGGCTGCGAACGCGAGGGAGCGAGTGAGAGGCCGCGCCCCGGGCGCGCGCACCCCCCGGGCCTCCGCCCTGAACCCTCCAGCCTGGGCCGTCCGGCCGCGCCTAGAGCCCGGGCCCCGGCCCAACGCTGCCTGCGAAAAAGAAGGGGCCCATCCATGCCCGCGCTGGCAGCAACGCCAGGCCGATGGCGCCGGATGAAGCCCAAACGCCGGGACCGAGTCTCGCTCACCTCCTGCGCAGGAAGACAACCGAGCGGAAAGGAAACGGCGCCGCAATGCACCCTGGGATGATAGCAGGGCCGGCCAACCAGAAGCGCCGGGCGCTCTGACCAATCAGAGCCCGGAAAGGAGGAACTGACGTCACCGCGCTCGCTTAGGGCCACCCTCGCAGACATGGCGTCGCTCAGAGTGCGGCGGCGCGGCCGTGATGCCCGGGCCCTGTGGACCCCGCGGCCGGACTTGCTTGACGTCCGCCGTTACTGCCCCGGCGCTTCAGCCGCTGCGCGGGCCGCGGTGGGCTCAGGCCGAGTCCCGCCTTGCGGACTAACGCGCGCGGGGCCAGCATCTGGGCGGACGGCGAACGGGCGACGCCCCGGCAATTCTGTTTGTTCGCGTTTGTGGGACACGTTTGTAGCGCAAAGGCAGGAAAACTGCAATGAGATCCGAGTCTGCGCAACCTAAGGCCGTCGTCCTCCTTGTTCCAGCGTTTATTCTCCTCCCATCCATTTAGAACTTTTTTTATTTTGAGACAAGAGCCTCACTCCGTCGCCCAGGCTGGAGTGCAATGGCGTGATCTCGGCTCACTGCAAACTCTGCCTCCCGAGTAGCTGGGATTACAGGCGCCCGCCACCACACCAGGTTAATTTTTTGTATTTTAGTTTAGTAGTAGAGACGGGGTTTCACCGTGTTGCCCAAGCTGGTTTCGAACTCCTGAGCTCAGGCAATCCGCGCGCCTCGGCCTCCCAAAGTGTTGGGATTTACAGGCGTGAGCCACCGCGCCCGGCCTATGCTGGTTTTTTAAAAGATAAAATTAACATTTCTTGAGTGTTTTTGTAAGCAGGGAGTTCAGTTCCGGATGTGCATTTTCACATCGAATCCACACAACTCCGTAAGGCGCAGTTACTGTTGGCCTCTGTCCCCGCTTTCCCTTGGCCCAGGATTAGGTGACTTCTCTAAGGTCAGGGGTACCTGACTGAAAGTGTCACATTCTGACCTGCTGTGCCTACTGCCTCCCTTCACAAAGAAAAGCATCAACAAAAAGCCAGCTCTTACTCTCTAGTGCAAGTCTGTGAAGGCACCATCCATCTTACTGCTACCTGGAAACCTGTAACTCCTAATAACCCTCTTTCTTCCCTACCCTCACCCAATCACCACCCTTCCTCCTGGTAAAACTTAGTCCACATTTTAAGAATTTCACAGTCCCGGCCGGGCGCGATGGCTCACACCTGTAATCCCAGCAGTTTGGGAGGCCGAGGCGGGCGGATCACGAGGTCGGGAGATCGAGACCATCCTGGCAAACACGGTGAAACCCCGTCTCTACTACAAATACAAAAAATGAGCCGGGTGTGGTGGCGGCGCCTGTAGTCCCAGCTACTCGGGAGGCTGAGGCAGGAGAATGGTGTGAACCTGGGAGGCAGAGCTTGCAGTGAGCCGAAATCGTTGCCACTGTGCTCTAGCCTGGGGAAACAGAGCAAGACTCTGTCAAAAAAAAAAAAAAAAAAAAAAAAAAAAAATTCCAGCCCGGCATGGGTGGGCTCACGCCTGTAATTCCAGCACTTTGGAGGCAAGACGAGTGGATCACCTGAGATCAGGAGTTGGAGACCAGCCTAGCCCACCATGGCGAAATCCTGTCTCTACTAAGAAATGAGAACAATTAGCTGTGCGGTGGTAGTGTACGCTGGTAACCTAGCTACCCAGAGACTCAGACGGAGAGGATTCAGTTGAACCCAGGAGGCGGAGTTAGAGTCAAGGCGTGTCCACTGGCATCCAGCCGGTGACCAGAAGTTAAAGGCCTCCGTTCTCAAAAAAAGTCTCAACAAAAAATTTAGGCTTGGCATGGTGCTCACACCTGTAATCCCAGCACTTCGGGAGGCCGAAGCAGGCAGATCACGAGGTCAGGAGATGAGGACCATCTCTACTAAAAATAAAAAAAATTAGCTGGGCACGGTGGCACGCACCTGTGGCCCCAGCTACTTGGGAGGTTGAGGCAGGAGAATCGCTTGAACTCGGGAGGTGGAGGTTGCAGAGAGCCAAGATAGCGCCACTGGGCTATAGAGCATGATTCCATCTCCTCCCCCCCCAAAAAATTTAAAAATAGTAAAATAATTTCACAAAAGGCTCGGTACAATGGCTCACACCTGTAATCCCAACACATTGGGAGGGCAAGGCAGGAGGATCACTTGAACTCAGAAATTCCAGTCTAGCCCTGTCTCTACAAAAAAATACAAAAATTAGGCATAGTGGTGCATGCCTGTGGTCCCAGCTACTTGGGAGGCTGAGTCAGGAGAATCGCTTGAACCCAGGAGATCGAGGCTGCAGTGAGCCGAGATGGCGCCACTGCACTCTAGCCTGGGCGACAAAGCAAGACTGTCAAAAACCCACACAACAGGAAAAAAATGATTACCGAGGACACGACCCTTGGCTACACCAGCTAAAACCTTCCCAACTACGTGCTGCTCTTTGGATTTGGAGAACTTGGGCAAAGGTCAAGGCGTCTCTCAGAGATGCCCCCACTTGGGTGTGTGACCGCACCTGTGGCTGCCTCCTTACTGCTCTGCCTGCGTTTCTCAGGGTCTCAGTGTTGCAGCAACAACAGGACAATCCACTCACGTCACTGCACCACAGGGAGAGCAGACACAAGGAGGCCGGAGTGGGAGCCGCATGCCCCGGAACACAGGGCCAGGGTGTCCTGGGTCATCCTCTATCCCTACAGGGTCCAGGCCCCCGATTCCTACAGGAGTTTTCCACTTAGTCCCTGCATTACTCAAATGACAAACTGAAACCACAAGACCCTGTGATCCAAGGTAAGCCCGCCAGCTCCCCTGCATTAGAGCTGGCCAGACAATGCAAATGTAATTTTCCAACCACAGAGTTTATTAGTAAAGTGTCTCAACAGTTCTCAGGGCAGAAAAAACCAAGGCATCCCCCAACACTGCATGTGTGACTAGACCAGCAAGAAGTCCTCAACTTGCACCGTCCACATGGCAGCAGGGGGCAGTGTTGAGTCCCCTGGAGCCCAGTGCCTGGGCCAGACTGTGTGGCCCCATTGACGAGTGAGCTGGAGGACGGGGCTGCTGGCTCAGAGGGTCCTTTCATGTCCGATCTTGTTAGCATTCTGAGGGAGCCACAGGAACTGGGAGGCTGTGCAAGCGTCGGCATGAACGGCGGTCTGTTCGGAGTCTGAATGCTCTGCTGCCTCTGGGTGGCCTCAGCCACGCTGGGAACGACTGTCTAGAACCTTGGGAACTCAGGTGTTCCATGCTCACTCGGGAACGCACTGAGAACCTTCCCCACAGGGGAGACGACACACACACACAAGGCTTGGCCAGTTGTTTCTGCAGAGAAACTTACAATCATGAAAAGGGTAATCAACAAACAGATCTCAGAAGTCGCTGCACAGGGACTACTGAGGGCCGCAAGAGGAAGTGCAAACCTCAGTTGAAAAGCAATGCAGGGTGGCTGAGTGAGCCCTCAGTTCTTGGGTCACCCGCACGTGCGGCCAACACGTCCCAGCTACTTGGGCCAAGTCGGCTCTTCGCCTCCAAGTGGGGGCTGCTGGGTCTCTTCGGCCTCCTCCTCTCCCAAGTCCTGTTTCTCCCTCTGGGCGTCGACCCACCTCTGCGGTGCGATCATTTTCTTCGGCCCGTGGGGCGGCGGGCCAATGAGAGCCTCGATGTCCTCATAGTTTATCACTTCCTTTTCCAGAAGGGCGTTTGCCAGCTGGAAAGAACAGGCACAGCAGTGTGTGAGTCCCCAGGACAGACACAGAGCATCTCTGTCCCAGGGAGGTGACGAGAGGCATGCGGGCCTGTGTGCAGGACACCCGGGACAGGCCACTTTCCCAGGGAAGCGGAGGCACGGAGGCAGCTCCCAAAGAAGAATCACCCCCATCTCAACCTCATAAATGATTTTCCGGTGGCCAGCCTCATTAATTTTTCTACTTCCCTTCAAAATCTTGGCTTATTTTTGGCAACTGCAATTTCTTTCACCAGACAAGATGTGCGTGTCTACAGGGAAGGAGACGGGTAAAACGCTGCACCCTCCTGATTGACACAACACCGGGAGAAGGAATCTGAGGAGAAGTTGTGTGAGCTGGGACCTCTCAATTTGGGGAAGGGAATTTCAGCCACTCTAGGTGGGATCTTGGAAAACACTCGAGATGCCAACTGTCCTGTGCCGGTGGCCCTGCCTCTGGGGTGGCCTGGCCCGACCACAGAAAACACTGCCACAGCCACATTTCACTGGTTTCCGTGAAGGAAGAACTCTTCCAGATTTTCTTTTTTTTTTTTTTTTTTGTTAACTGCCTGCTCCTTTCCTCACTCCTCCAGATTTTCTAAAGAAAATGGTAACCCCTAAAGCTAGGGTGATTTACCTGTGGCTTTATTGCAAGAGACAAACATTTCCTCTCTAGGGCTGGTCTGAGATTTTATTAAGTTCTGCAACCCACTGACACACAGGGCAGACACACCACTCCACAGCCAGTGAGAAGCCTCGCCTGCAGCTTTGTCCCTGCCGGCTCTGGCTCCCACTGTGGTGAGCCCAAGTTCTGCAGAGCTGCTTTGTCAACCGTGATGAGCACATGTCCACAGGCAGGTGCTGCTTCAGCCGGGGACGGCACTACCCACACCTGCCCTGAGACTGCTGCTGCTGCTGCTGGTTGGGGATGACACTCTAAGGGCCCTAAACACTATCCCCATGTGACACACGGTGCTCGCCTGAAAGACACGAGGGGAGGCCGAAGAAACAACTACCCATCCATTGCCTACCCATCTGTTCACAACATGGACACAGAGCCCTTCGCCTCTCCTGAGTTCTAAGCAGCAGCTACCAGAACCCAGGAGCACGAAAGTGAACTCCAGCTCTGCCCACTTTGAGAAACACATCAGACAATCCCTACTGAGGAACGTAACGCGAGGAACAAAACACGAGGCCAGTCCTCGAAGCTGCCAAAGGAGGTCTGAGGAACTGTCACCCCAGAGGAGCCTCAGGAGATGGGCGATCAAACGCCACATGGACTCCCAGAGCGGAAAGGACACTGGGAGACGGAGCACATCTGCATCACGAGTGCACCCATCACTGCGGGTCGGCGGGGGCGCCTCAGGTGGGAGGACTGCCCTGGGGGGGCCTCCACGGGGTGAGGCAGCGGGGCAGGGAGCTCTCTGCACTGCGCCTGCAACTTTTCTACATCTGACACTACGGTAGGCCCGGGGCTGTGGCTCACGCCTGTAATCCCAACACTTTGGGAGGCCGAGGCAGGCAGATCACCTGAGGTCAGGAGTTCAAGACCAGCTTGGCCAATATGGTGAAAGACTCTCTACTAAAAATACAAAAATTAGCCAGGCGTGGTAGTGGCACCTGTAGTCCCAGCTACTCGGGAGGCTGAGGCAGGAGGATCGCTAGAACCCGGGAAGCGGAGGTTGCAGTGAGCCAAAATGGCGCCATTGCACTCCAGCCTGGGCGACAGAGGTAAAACCGCTCAAAAAAAAAAACCAAAAAACAACAAAGAAATCAAAACAATCCTCTAAAATTAAAACTTTATTTAATAAAAATTTCGCCGGGCGCGGTGGCTCAAGCCTGTATCCAGCACTTTGGGAGGCCGAGACGGGTGGATCAACAAGGTCAGCAGAATCGAGACCACTCCTGGCTACACGGTGAAACCCCGTCTCTACTAAAAAATACAAAAAAAAACTAGCCGGGGGCGAGGTGGCGGCACCTGTAGTCCCAGCTACTTGGGAAGCTGAGACAGAGAGAGAATGGCGTAAACCGGGAGGTTGGAGCTGCAGTGAAAGCTGAGATCGCACTGCAACTCCAGCCCCGGCGACAGAGCGAGACTCTGTCTCAAAAAAAAAAAAAAATAAAAAAAAAAATCAGAACAAAGTTTTAAGAGTTGGAAAAAGATTAAACAAAGCTGACAAAACACCGGTAACTGCTAACGGCAGGAACAGGCACAGGAGACTCTGTGGCAGCTTCTTTCTACCTTGGGGGAACACACTGGGTGAATTCATGATGAAAAGTGTGGGACATGTAAGTTTCAGGTGAGGTGGAATTCACATTGGCCAGAGTGTTCTCTGTACTGTGTGCCTTGGAAATACTTCACAAGAGGGGTGGGGACCGTGGGTTTTGCGTAGATGCTGTGTGGGTGCTGCGTGGGTGCTGTGTGATGCTGCAGTCTCCTCGCCTGGCCAGGGCCTCACCGCCTGCAGCTTGTCCAGGTTGTCCTGCAGCACCTTCTCGGTGTGTCTGTAGGCCTTGGCCACCAGCAGTCTTGCTTCCTGCGAATGGAGGGAACTGTGTCAGGGCAAGGCTGGCCGCCTGGCTCCGACACCAAAGCACAGAAAAGAAGTGCCAGGCTGGGAACACGGCCTTTCCCCTCCCAGGAGGAACAGGACTCCTCAGCCAGCGGGCGGTCTCCTGCCTGTGACCACTGCCGGGGGAACAGAGCTCCACATGCCGCCCGCCCACCCACAGCTGCCTCACAGGCCTTTCCTGGCCCAGTCTGAAGGCTATGTGGGCCCTGCGTCTATTGCTCAGTGAATTTATTTGATATTCTTCCCAGATTCACATCTATAATTTCATTAGGAGCATCTATGTCCTCATCTGAGAAAAAAATACTCCACAGGTAGGAACTACAGCAGAGCCCAGAAGGAAGAAGCCCACGTGGGGCCTGCAGCTGAGCTCAGCTGTGGCGGCCGTGGCCGGCCCTTGTGTGGCAGACCCAGGGACTCCCTTCCCAGGGAGCACAGAGTGCAGCGGTGCGGCCAGAGCCGACTCACATGGTCCATTATCTGCTGCAGGCCTTGGCTGAAGGGGCGCCGCCCGATGCCCACGAGTCCCTCCTGTGCCTCAGGGAAGGAGATGGGGCCGATGCCAGGTGCCATCCCAAACTGCTTCACCATGGAGTAGGCAATGCGGGTGACCTTCCTCAGGTCATCCTGTGCCCCTGGAGGGTGGGGTCAAGACAGAGGGATCCTCAGCACTGCAGGTGCACAGCAGGCGTCCCGGTCAGCGTCCTGGGGCAACACCGTGCCTCCGCATCCCCTTCCTCCCGAGGAGTCCCACCGTGAAGCTGGACAGTGAGGACGTTGGCACCTCGCCACTGTTCCTTAAGAGAGTCTTAAAACTTTCAGAAATGCTCTTTTATTTGGAAATCTAGAACCTGGGGGGCATACAGGAGCTCACTGCACGACAGTACTCAAGCACAAGCCCAGGCCTATGCGCAGCACACCCACGGACCTGGAGCCCTGGGACCCTCCTTCAGTCTCTGGATCTCCCAGTGAAGTGACAGCTTCAGAACAGTGAAGCTGCTTCCATTTCATTCCGTTTCCTGTAGCCATTACCAAGAATTAACCAATTAAATGCGTTTAGAGTTGGCATATAGGTTAAGTTTTTTGTCCAGTTAAATTATCTAAAAAGTCTTGCTTAGCTCCAAATCTCCTATGACCACAACTTATCCTTTAAAAAACACTTAATAAACTCAAAACTACATCTACACCAGATTCACCCCACGGCATTCACTGGAACAGAAGGAATAATGCACGGAAAAGCACTCTGAAACCTCCGGGGCCCACGCAGCCGCTCCTCACCGGAAGTGACCTTGTTGAAGGACAGTGCTTCCGAGGCCCGGCCCCCCAGGGCCATGCACATCCGCTCAAACAGCTGCTCCTTGGTGAAGAGGTACTGGTCTCTGGGAAGCATCTGAGCAAAGCCCAGGGCGGCGTTCGTCCGAGGGGCTATGGAGACCTGCACAGGGTCAAGATGGCCCACGTCAGTAGGCAGGATGTGGGCTTTGAGGAGGAAGGTGTGGGACTAAGAGGTCTCCATCATTAAAGCGTCTCAAAGCAGGAAAGCAAATCAGCATCTTTTACAAGAGAGGACCCTAACACCACAGACGGCCAGTCCAGAGACAGCAGGGTCCCCACCACAGACGGACGGCCAGCCCAGACGGCAGGGCTCCCACCACAGGTGCCTGTTCATACACTGTTGGGGAGTGTCTTCTCATACATGACTAGGGAGTCAAGAAGACAAGGTCCGTAGAAGACAGCTGAGAGGCGAAGGACAAGTTACACCCCCAGTGGCCGCTGAGCTGACCCCTGGCACTAGCGACTGCCACGGAGGGTTCAGAGCAATGGGAACCCCAGGATGCTGAGGGAACATGGACTGCCCTCACCTCTGCTACTCCCCCACACCCCCACATCAGGTGTGCAAGGAGGGGGCACGGGGCAACATGCTAACCCAACGACATGGAACCGCGGAGTGGGACACGGAGGGAGACAGGGCAGGGGCAGGTCCTTTGCTGGCCCAGCTGCTGCTTCTGAGAACTGTGGCAGCAAGATGGCCACAACCAGGTGCTCTGAGAATCCTGAGAGAACGCTGAATTTAGAACCTAAAACTAGGCCAGGCGCGGTGGCTCCCATCTGTGATCTCAGCACTTTCGGAGTTAGAGGCGGACAGATTGCTTGAGCCCAGGAGTTCGAGACTAGCCAAGACCCCTTCTCTACAAAAAATACAAAAATTGCCCGAGCCAGCGGTGGTGTACGCCTGTAGTCTCAGCTACACAGGAGGCTGAGGTAGGAGGATCTTGTGAGCCTGGAAGGTCAAGGCTGCAGTGAGCTAGCTGTGACTGCGCCACTGGACTCCGGTCTGGGCGACAGAGAGACAGACCCTGTCTCAAAACCAAAAAAAAGGCTCTAAATAACGGCTGCAGTGATGATTGCATTAATGACCAAAACCACAACAGTCAGTTCACAACCTTTCCCTGGCAGGACACTGAGCCTTGGGAAGGAGACTTACTTTTTCATTGTGACTATCTGACTTTTGCCTATCAAATAAAGTAAAAATTCTTTTTTTTCCCTTTGATAGTCTTGCTCTGTCACCCAGGCTGGAGTGCAATGGCACAGTCTTGGCTCACTGCAGACTCTGCCTCCCGGGTTCAAGGGATTCTTCTGCCTCTGCCTCTCAAGGAGCTGGGATTACAGGTGTGCACCACCACGCCCAGCTAATTTTTTGTATTTTTGGAAGAGACGGGGTTTCACCATGTTGGCCAGGCTGGTCTCAAACTCCTGACCTCAGGTGATCTGCCCGCCTCGGCCTCCCAAAGCCCCTGCGTTAATTTTGATTTGTTGACATACTGAGTTAAAACGTTGTGTTCATTGCTCAGTTTCTCAGTATCCCTTAAATGGGACCCCGAGCTCAGTGTCCACTCGCCCCACACTGGGCCGGCTCTGGTCCCATGACCGCGATGCACGTCACCAAGGAGCAGCATGTACCTGGTCCCCAGACGCTGGCCTCAGCCCTGCTGGGAGCCTGGGATGGGCAGGATGCTCTCTGATTAACACCCAACTTTGCTACAGCTCACGCCTGAGAAACAGCAGCGGAGACCACGCTGGCAAGCCAAGCGGGCAACTGCTGCACTGTGTGCATTTTTTGCAGAGAACCCTGAGGTAGGAACACAGCACTGCTGCCGTCTCCGGTGAGCCTCAAACCGGCACCGGTTCCTGGGGCTCCACTGCAAAGATGGCACCGGCGTTCTGAATAGAGACCTCCTCTTGACAGCACTCGTCTCCCAGTGGTGGAGCCACATGTCTGAGAGAAGCTGTAACATCACCATTTGGTAAGAATCAACTTCCATCGAGTTCACAGCTGCCTACAAGAGTAGTTTTTTGTTTGTTTGAAGTAGAGACGGTTTTGCCATGTTGGCCAGGCTGGCCTCGAACTCCTGACCTCAGGTGATCCACCGCGCCCGGCCTACAGTAGCATTTTTTAAATATACGCTCAACTCACTTCTTTCCAATGTTAGGAGTCATTTGGGGTGGACAGGCTGAGAACAGGCACAGGCAGTGAAACCCCACTGCATGGCGTGACCTTCCAGGAGTCACCCCAGTAGCAGCACCCGGCTCCGATGTGACACAGTCCACTCCTGCCTCCCATGCCCGAGCTTCTGCCCATCATCCTGGGACAGTCGCCTCCCACCTTACTCCTTGGATCATGACACTGGCAGGCTCTCCTCTCACATGACCTACAGACACAGGCGGGACCCCCCGGTCAGCTACAGACACAGGCGGGACCCCCCGGTCAGCTACAGACACAGGCGGGACTTCCCAGTCAGCTTTGGCCAAAGCCTGTGGACCCACCTTCATCACAGCCTCCGTGTGCTCCAGCATCCAGCCCACCAAGGCGTGGCCCGACTCGTGAAATGCAACCACTTTCTGTTCTTCCTTGGACAGGATCTTGCTCTTTTTGGCAGTGCCTGAAAGAATGCCAGGGTGTGAGCCGGGCGCGGTGCTCACGCCTGTAATCCCAGCACTTTCGGGGGCTGAGGCGGGCGGGTCACCTGAGGTCTGGAGTTTGAGACCAGCCTGACCAATATGATGAAACCCCATCTCTACTAAAAATACAAAAATTAGCCAGGCATGGTGGCAGGTGCCTGTAATCCCACCTACTCGGGAGGCTGAGGCAGGAGAATCACTTGAATCTGGGAGGCGGAGGTTACAGTGAGCCGAGATCGTGCCACTGCACTCCAGCTGGGTGACGCAGCGAGACTCCGCTCAAAACACAAACCAACTGGCCGGGCGCGGTGGCTCAAGCCTGTAACCTCAGAACTTTGGGAGGCCGAGACGGGCGGATCACGAGGTCAGGAGATCGAGACCATCTTGGCCAACACGGTGAAACCCCGTCTCTACTAAAAAAATACAAAAAATTAGCCAGGCTTGGTGGCGGCGCCTGTAGTCCCAGCTACTTGGGAGGCATGAGGGCAGGAGAATGGTGTGAACCCGGGAGGGCAGAGCTTGCAGTGAGCTGAGATCGCGCCACTGCAGTCCAGCTTGATCGACACAGGCGAGGACTTCGTCTCAAAAAAAAAAAAAAAAAAAAAAAAAACCACAAAAAAGAATGCCACGGGGTGTGAGCTAGGCCCCGGCTCTCCCTGGCTGGGGCCCCGCCTCCTGCCCCGTGTAGTCAAAAGCAAGGTTCACCGCTCTGACACCCATCTGCGCTCTAAGCAGGGGCGTCCTGTAGCCCATGGCTCCGGACACCCAACTCAAAACTCTTCAGGTCAAAGAGCTGTTGAAGGAGGTTGTGATTTCTTCTTTTATAAATGTTGCAAGTATCAAAATAGCTCCTGCTGCTTTTAGGAACAAGTGCAACCCTCTGAGGAGTCTCTCCTCCTGCCCCAGGGTTGGGCGAGGTCCACAGGGTCGGGGCAGGGGTCACAGAACAGCAGCTTCTGACTTTCTGGCAGGATGGGCAGAGGCCTCCTCTGAGTATGGGCCTCCTGCTTACTCTCCCACTCCCCTCAGACCTGGCGGGGCAGCTCCCATCCCCATCACTTTCTGGATCCTCATGGCTTCCACTCATCCCTTCAGAGGCCTTTTGCCTCAGGGACAAGGCTTTTTTTGGTAAGAGACAGGGTCTCACTCTGTCGCCCAGGCTGGAGGGCAGTGGTGCAATCATGGCTCACTGTTGCTTCAACCTCCCGGGTTCTAGCAATCCTCCTACCCCAACCCAACCGCCTGAGTAGCTGGGACCAGAGGTGTGCTCTACCACCATGCCTGGCTAATACTCTTTTCTTTCTTTCTTTTTTTTGTTTTAAAACAGATGGGGTCTTGCTGTGTTGCCCAGGCTGGTCTCAAACTCCTGGCCTCAAGCAATCCTCCTGCCTCAGCCCCCAAAGTGCTGGTATTACAGGCATGAGCTACAGTGCCCAGCCAGGGACAAATGTTTGCATTAAATTTCCCCTGTTCAGCTTACTGGTGAGGCTTCACTTCCTATCTCACATTTTCCACACATCTGTAAGTCTCCATTTTGTACAACTTGAATCAGCTCGTGGTCCTGAGCACTCAAGTACATCGTGCTACTGGAACCTTCCACCCCCACTGTACTGCAAGGCTTTAAGTCCTAAGACACACTGGCTGTGGCCGATGAATTACTCCAACCAGAGCCGGCTACAGGACTATGTACAAAGGCACGAGACCACAAGGCGTACAAGACAGGCTTACCTGAAAACAAACGAGTGTGTTTCTAGTACGGACAAGTGCAGGCAGGCTGTCGACACCAGGAGTGACAAGCTCAGTTCAACAGGGATGGCATGGCCAAGCCTGCAGCCTGGGCACCAGGAGGACACCACGCTCAACCACCCATGCCAGTGGCCAGAGATGGGCACTCAGGGGCGTCTCTCCCACCCAGAAGCCTGAGCTCCCTGCACTTCCTTTAATCAGACCATTCAGGCATTTGACTGTGAACTGTACTGACCACTCCCCATTCCCTGTGCATACGGCTCGTTACCACACGCTCTCTCTTCTTTCTGCCTGAACCTTCACTTCTGCCTCATGGGATCTGGGGGTGGAGGATGGCCCTCCCCACTCCCGGCGCCCTCCCTGCCCAGGATCTGTGAGTAGTAAGTCTCTGAACGTGTTTCCTATCGTGGTGGGGACTGAATTTGCACCTTCCACAAGGAAGAACCAGGGGCTGCCCAGGCTGGGTTTTCTCAGGCATGTGGGGGGCACAGGACAGGCCCCAGCACCAAAGTGATGGTCAGGCAGGCATAACCTGGACGTGAACCAGACAGGAGCCATGGGACGTCTGCCAGTGTAAGCAAGTTTCCTGGAGGGACTCCTGGACTTCGGATGGACATGAAGCTGTCCACTGGGTCAAAGATGCATCCGTTGAAGGGCGATAACCTTCATCTCCCCGGAGTGCAGGGCGACCGGCCGCCAGGCACTGGACCGTTTAGCTGGGGGCTCTCAAGACTCAGGCTGTCCACACTAAAGATGAACACAGAGGACCCACTCTGCATCACGCACGGGAAATGGCGTCCTGTTAGTATTTTCCTTTCTTCTCCTGGAGTCAGGGGTCTCGCTCTGTTGTCCAGGCTGAACTGCAGTGGTGTGATCACAGCTCACTGTAGCCTCAACCTCCTGGGCTTAGGCCATCCTCCTGCCTTGGTCTCCCAGAGAGCTGGGCTTACAGGCATGAGCCCCCACATCCTGCCCAGGCTGCATTTTCTTTCAAGTGGCCTGTAGTTCCCACTCAGTCCTTCCTGCTTTGCTACTATGATCAAAAGCTTATCAATTTCCACATAAAAGTAAACGGTTACCAAAAATACATTTTGGTGAGACACAGGCAGCGCCAGTCCTCTGGACCCGCGGGGCGGGCGGGGGGAAGCCAGGCGTGTTTCACAGTGTCTGGCACAGCAGCTGGCCCCACTCCTCTGCAGGGATCCACCGCCTTCCCACGCTGAAGCCCCGGGGACCTGCCAGAGGCACGTCTGCTAGGAATTCACTCAGACTGAGGGTGAGGGAACTCGGTTCTCGCAGGGACAGCTCGCAAGGGAGGCTCGTGCTCCTCAAACACCTGGGACAAGAACCACTTCCCTTTTCAAACGTTCCCTGTGTCTCAGACTGACACTGTGGGTCTGAACTCCATTTCATGAGATGACTGATCACGTCTGGTTGTTGCCATCATAGCTACGGAAACCTCCAGCAGCTCCGATTCCCGGTTTAGTCCTGCTCTCCTCACAGACGTCGCAGACCCCACACTGAGCAGCCACAGAACGGCAGTCAGAGGCGGCCAGCCCACCCGTCACCAAAACTCATCTCCTGTTCCTACTGAGAGTCGGAGCCACGGGTTTCGCCAGAGGTCGCGCAGCAGATCCACACCTGTCCGCAGAGCCCCTCCTGCGCTGAAGGCACAGCTGTCCCTCCATGCCCACAGGCGGCAGCAGCCCTCCGGCCCACAGTCAGCGGTTGGAACTCAGCCCCCGTAGGGCCAGGCCTAGGCTGAGCCCACCACACCCAGGCCGGTAAGGCATGTTTAGTTTTTATTTCATTATTTTTATTTTTGGGGGGGAATTTTTTATTTTTTTTTTCATTTTCTTTGGCAAGGCATTTTTATATTTCTGTTGGACGAGTGTCTACTCTTAGGTCTAAGCCTGTGATACTTTAAGGAAAAGTACCTGGCATCATAAAGACATGAGTTACACAGAACTGAAATGCAACGTGTGTTCCTTCCCGTGTGATGGCTCCCGGCCACTCAATCACAGGACACCCAGGCCTGGATCTGGCTCCATCCACCTCATCTCTAAATACCTGCCTGGGTATTTCTGGGGTTCAAGCCCTGCTAAGAACGGCCTTCACCAGGGTGTGCCCCCTGTACCTGCAAGGACGCGCTCCACGGCGTACTCGAAGTTGAGCGTGTGCACCGAAGTGTGTCCCTCCCGCGCTGCGTGCAGGGCAGCCTCGTTGCAGATGTTGGCGATGTCAGCCCCTGCCAACACAAACGACAGCCAGGGCACGGTGGGGTGGGGTTCTGCTCTCTATCAGGGCTTAAGAGGAGGAAGGGGCCCTCAAGGAAGAACAAAGATGGCCGGGCACGGTGGCTCACGTCTGTAGTACCAGCACTTTGGGAGGCTGAGGCAGGCAGATCACCTGAGGTCAGGAGTTGGAGACCAGCCTGGCCAACACGGTGAAACCCCGTCTCTACTAAAAATACAAAAATTAGCCAGGTGTGGTGTCGGCGCCTGTAATCCCAGCTACTCCGGAGGTTGAGGCAGGAGAAATGGTTGAACCCAGGAGGCAGAGGCTGCAGTGAGCCAAGATCACGCCACCGCACTCCAGTCTGGGCGACAGAGCAGGACTCTGTCTCAAAATAAATAAATAATTAATTAAAAGGAAGAACAAAGAGAGAAAAGAGACCAAGAACCAAGAGTGCTGGTGAGAGCGTGTGGGAGAGAGGCAAGGGGAGCTGGCACCAGCAGTAGAGGTGGGGAGTGGCAGGCACTGTGACCATGTTCCACTGAGGCCATTTCACAGACGAGACACAGAACCGCCAAGCTCCGTCCGCCCTGACACCCGTCTCTCTCCTCCCAAGGGCAGTTCCACACTCCATCTTGTGACATTCCACCTAATAGCTCGTGGGCATTGATGGCAAAGAAATTAAAGGCTCTCAGTATCCACAAAATTCTAGTGAAAGATCTTAACAAACAACCAAAAAGGAAGTTGATCTCAATAAAAGGGAGTTTTGTTTACATTGTTTTAAAATGTAAGCCATGCAGAAAAAAGCGTCTTGATGTACGATTTCTATTTCTACAGCTTGACAGAGACTGTGAGGGTCAGAGGGAGGCGGCTTTGCCGGCACTGCGTCATCTGACCCCGGGTCTGACGGGAAACGCTGGGATGACTGGTCACACTGTGTGGAGGCAAACGTACGGCCACTATCTCGAGTCAAGCACAGTCTGCTTTTCCACCCCTGGGGCAGAGGAAGGAGTGCAGGTGCCGTCTTGACCTCCTGCCATCCCACATGCACACCAGCTCCCACCCAGGCCTGTACTGAGCAGGGGCCCCCAGAGAAGGCAGCGCCCACCCTACACAGGAGGCCTCGACGTTGTGTGCACAGGAGAGACCCCCGGCCCTCAGGATGTGACGCTGCTCAGGCTGCGGCTTGAAAACATACCGCTGAATCCTGGTGTCAGCTCTGCCAGACGCTGGGAGTAAAAGGTGCTGGACTGGGTCAGCTTCAGGCTCTTCAGGTGCTGCTCAAAAATCTCCCGCCTCTCCTGCCAGAACCAGGGGAGGAGGACAGACCATCGCGTTCTCGCCCAGTGACTGCCGCAGGCGCTGCATGTTTGTCTGTGGCGGGAGAGGGGGGTCCCCGACGCCCCTGCCCTGAGGACAAACCTCAGCTTCCCAAGGAGCTGGGATTACAGGTGCGCCATCATGCCTGACTGAGTTTTGTATTTTTAGTAGAGACGGGGTTTTGCAAACTTGCCCAGGCTGATCTGGAACTCCTGGCTTCAAGTGATCCACCTGCCTCGGCCTCCCAATGTGCCGGGGTTACAGGCGTGAGCCACCACGCCTGGCCATGAGCAACATTTTAAACATGAACAGAACGCGCTTGGATGGCCGGTCCGGTGGCTCACACCTGTAATCCCAGCACGTTAGGAGGCTGAAGCAGGCAGCCTGGCCAACATGGTGAAATCCTGTCCCTACTAAAATACAAAATTAGCCAGGTGTGGTGGTGCACACCTGTAATCCCAGCTACTCGGGAGGCTGAGGCTGGAGAATTACTTGAACCTGGGAGACAGAGGTGAGTGAGCCAAGACGGCGCCGCTGCACTCCAGCCTGGGGGATAGAGTGAGACTCTGTCTAAAAAAAAAAGAGCGTTCTTGGAAGCCGAGGTGGGGATCACCTGAGGCCGGGGTTCGACACCAGACTTGCCAACACAGTGAGACCCCGTTAAAAATTAGCCACCACGGTGGTGCCCGCCTGTCGCAGTCCCAGCTCCTCAGCCTGAGCTCTGAAGGTCGAGGCTGCAGTGAGTGGTGATCGCAGCACTGCACTCCAGCCTGGGTGACAGCGCAACACCCTTTCTCTAAAAATTAAAAGAAAAAAATCAAAAAGAAAAAAGAGAGCCGCCCTCCCCTGGAGAAGCAGCCGCAGGAAGGGCTTCCGCTCTGCCCTTCACTCTCCATCTCAACAGAGGCCGAGCACCGGCTGAGGCATCAGGGCAGCTGCCTGTGTGAGCCCAGCCCTGCTCCCCAGGCTGCACTGACACACCACGAACCTACCAGCAAACCCCGAGGCCCTCTCTCCAAACCCTCCCCACCATGAGCTGAACTCCTGCTCCCTCAGGGCGGCAACCAAGGCCCTTTGGCCAGGAGGTGTAATGTCTAACCAGAGCCCTGTGACAGAGGAGGGAATCAGGCAAGAGGCCTCAGAACTTCTACTCCCACCCCAATTTCAGGGCAGCTGCACAGTCCACATCTCCAGAACCCACGCTCTGGATGGAAGGAAATGATGCCGCACAAGAATAAAGTTTCCCATGATTTTTCCTCCTGGATTTTGTTTCAAAGGATTTGCTACAAAAACCAGACTGATACCCAGGATAAAAGGAAAACTAATAGCGGGTGAAAAGAACTGCAAAACCCCCAGCAGTGACTGCAGCAGGTGGCAGGTCTGCTGGGGGCCGCGCTGGACAGTGCCAGCACCTGCAGGGCAGCGACAGGTTTCACACCAACAAGTGTCTTAGAGGAGAGGCCAGACCACCCAGGACGAGTGAGGGCAGCCCAGGTGGAGTGGGAGAAGCTGGGGTCCTGGCTCTGACCTGCAGTGTAGGCAGATCAATGAAGACGTGCCGGTCCAGTCGGCCTGGCCTCATCAGAGCACCGTCCAAAATGTCAGCTCGGTTCGTGGATGCCAGGACGATGACATGGTCTGTGGTGCCCATTCCTGAGGGGACAGACAGTGGCCCTGAGGGTGGGGGTCCTGACACAACAGATTTCCCCTGCAGGTTCCCCTTCAGGATACAGGAGGGAGAGGGACCCTCCCCGCCCCAAGGCCCAGAGAGAAAGGAACACCTGGTTCTTCTGCACTAGGAGCTGTGATCCTTCCCTCATCGCTCCCAGCCAACATCACCAGGAGGAACAGGAATTTCCCTGTTTTGACAAGTGATAACAGCACACCATCCTGGGGCTGGCTACTGAGGCAGAACTGTCCAAGGCCCTCCTGGAGCTCCCACGGCATCCTGGAACGTCCCCCAGCCGGACAAAAATAGCTGCGGCGTGCTGGCGGGCGCCCTGTAGTCCAGCTACTCGGGAAGCTGAGGCAGAACAAATGGCGATGAACCCGGAAGGCGGAGCTTGCAGGAAGCCGAGATCGGGCCACTTGCACTCCAGAGCCTAGGCCCACAGAGCCAGACTCCCTCGTCAAAAGCAAAAAATAAAAAATAAAAGACGATGACTTTTTTTTTGGTTCTT